AGTGTTTATAGAGGGTTAATTCATAAGTTTTTGTCTATTCTTTACCTTGGAAAAATTGTGTCCCGCCTGCCAAAGATAGCAGCCTTGTGCTCTAGGCATGTGAACCCGTATCCAAATGTCAAGGAGACCGTGTGCAATAAAGTATTAATGATGGATGGGAGTATTATTGTGCTTTCACATTACTTATGAAAGAATAGGAAGTCCAAAGAACCCCTTTACTAGTTCACCAGGGTGGGGGGTTGCAACTTACTTGTCATTATGTCAGCAGCCTGCATGCTTGCTTTGCTGAGCGTCCATTGCCTACAATATACCCAAACTGAAGAGAAAAAAATGAATATATTGCATTCTAAAAGCACTTTGATGTGGTGGGTGCATACAGAGAAATACTTATTGATGCTGTCAGAAATCTTGTGTCTTTCTAACTTCCCATGCACTGAACTAAAATCTCAGACAAGATCATCAGGAGAGCAGCCTAGGGCAACAATGATGACTCACTGTGCTGTATTTATGGAGGAGCAGCATTTTTTACCCTAGGACAGGAAATATGTTACCGGGGGAATCACCAGGTGAAAATAAAGGATAAAGTTGGAAAAACTAATGCAAATCATCATGTCTAAGCACGGGGAAGCTGTGATATGTAAAATTATTATATCTATAACCCAATTTTTTTTGTTTTTGGGTAAAGTAGGGAATGGTTTTAACAGCCAGGTTATTTATTTAGTTTTTTGCTGCCTTTGTAGGAAATTTCTGAAAGTAGGAGGGATTCCCCTGCTAGACAGTGCTACCTAGAACAGGTGTCCCCATTGGAAGTTTTCCCTGTACCTCTTGTACTGAGGACAGATTAACATTTTTGGATTTCTACTCATTTTGGACCCCAGAACAAATAGAGGGATGAATCTCTCCAATGCGGACACTGACAGCAATAAAAACTTGGCAAAGGGTTTAACCCACGGCGCTGCCGCTCTCCTCGTGGCCGAACCCGCTGGTCCGTGCTACGATGGGGGCGACGGCCAAGACACTCCTCAACCCGGGCTTCACTCCCCCCACATCTCCCTTGACACCGGTGGGTGGGGAACCCCCGCTTCCCTCCGGGAGAGCATGGCCCACTAGCCAGAGCCCTGACAGCCGCAGGTAACACCAGGGTGTGTCACTTCCAGGAGGCGGGTCAGTGGAAACAAGTTGCCCAGATTCAGGCCGCCACAACTCTTCCGATGCGATTGTGGTGTGCACTGCAGTTGAGGCACTTCTTATGCTCCTTTTCAGAGGTTCCGGGCCCTAGACGGCCGCTGACGGATTTTGAAACACTATGCCTGCAGGCGGAGCCGATTAGACACTCCCTGGCATACTTGGTAAACTGTCTGCGCTGCCCCCCGTGACCAGACCCCCCCGTATTTTATTAGACAATGGACCTCTGATTTGGAACTGACCCTCAGTCCCGCACAGGTAGATGATACGCTATATTTCACCCTCAAATCCTCCATCTCTAACAAATACCAGGAAGCTGGGTATAAACTCCTAACCAGATGGTACAGGGTGCCCATAAGTCTTCATGCCATGTACCCATCGGTCTCTCCGTTATGTTGGAGATGCGAAACAGATGTGGGTTCCCTGCTACATGTCTTCTGGGACTGCCCGAAGGTTCAACCGTTCTGGATCAGCGTGGCCTCTGCAATAGCGGAGATCACGGGACACGAGCTGCCCTTCACCCCGGCAGTCTATCTTCTCCACCTGGCACCGCTCTCTCGTAGAGCATATAAACGGTCACTGCTGATACACCTGCTGAACACGGCTAGAGCCTGCATACCAGCTCTGTGGCGACAGACGCGCTCTCCCTCCGCAACCATGTGGGTGAGGCGGGTGGAGGAGATTAGACTGATGGAGAATTTGACCTCCAATTTAAGGAAATCGCAGTCCAGGTATGTGGCCACCTGGGGAGCATGGATCCACTTCAGGGGCTCGTCAGCTTTCTCTACAGTGTGCCAGGAAGAAGCCGGAGACTGAGGCACTACCCATTTACACTTCCCACTGTGTGTGGGTGCGGGGGGAGGGGCGGCTTGGGACCACCGGGGGGTGAGACCTCCGTCCACGTTTTCTTTCCCAATCTTTGTGCGTTTCCTTCCGCTTTCTCTTTGTGAGTCGTTGTATGTAAATGTCTTGTCTGTCGTGTATGTGCTGTTTGAGGAGGAACTGGCACGGGCTAGCCTTCCACATAGTGGGGCTGTACCCGGCCGCTCGCCTCGACACTATGTTCCCTTCCTGTTCCTGTTTTTGTTTAAGTGTGTTTGTTTGTCATTTATATTCTCCATAAAATGCCTTAAGGGCGGGGACATGTACGGTTACCTGATCTTACAACTTGTTAACATGTTTTAAATATGTTCTTCATTGTCTATGATTCGATATTGTGTGAGACCTTGTGGCCTCTGCTTGTCCTCCTTTTCTATGTACCCCACCCTTTTTGTTCATAAATAAAGAATAAAAAAAAAGAAAGGGTTTAACCCAAAACATAAAAAAAACTTTAAAAAAAAAGGTTTTGCCTGGAGATCTAGTTTAAAGTGACACTAAACTCAAATCTTAAAAATGCATTCAAGCATCTCAACTATTAACAAAAATGTATCTTATTTGTGTATCGCTCGGCTGTAGATCCTCAAATCATCTCTGAATTGGTGCTGACACTGTCCTTCCTTCTGGAGGGTGGCTACTTTTGCTCCCCATGGTCCCTGTGTGTGTTGTAAATTAGTCACCGCTCCAAGCTCACTCCTGTGATAGACTATGATCCCAATACAAATTAGTAAACTAAACATGGAATTGTAGTCCATCACAGGAGAGCGCTTGGAGCGGTGACTCCTGTACAACACACACAGGGACCATGGGGAACAAAAGTAGCCACCCTCCAGAAGGAAGGACAGTGTCAGCACCAATTCAGAGATACAGCCGGGTGGTACACAAATAAGATACATGTTTGCAAATAGTTAACCACTTCCGGACCGCAATACTTAAATATATTCCGGTCCTCAGAAGTGGTTACACCAAGAACACAGCTGTTGCTGCAGCCGTGTTCTTGGTGTCATTTTAAACAGCCAGCGATGGCTGTTAAAGGAAAACTATGGGGTCAGTGTTTTTCCCCATAGTTCTCCTTAGGGTAACGGGAGAACACAAACTAGCGTCCTCCCGTTACCCTAAGCTCAGTACACCGCGAGCTACAGCTCGCGTTATACTGAGACGCCGCACCTGGAGCGGATCCCGACTTAGATGACGGGATCTGCCCAGCTGCGTGAGTGACAGCTGGCTCTGCCTACCTAGAGGCAAAGCCAGCTGTACCCGCCCCTCCCCCGTCCGTTCCGCAGTCAGCGCTGGCAGATCGGAGCGGGGAGAGGGGAATCCAGCCCCTCCCCCTGTCACGGCAGAGAGCCGTGACAGGATCGAGAGGTGAGGGAACCCGGTATGTTTTCCCTCACCTCCCAATCTACTCAGCCGGCCTGTGACAGTCTCATTGTCACAGGTCGGCTTAGAACTATGAGGTGAGTGGAAATCACTCATGTCATAGTTCTCCTTTAAGAAAAAAGTGATGCGGCATCTATACAGCCGGCGGATCGTTTCTACTGATCCGTGGAATGTGCTGCCGCCACCCCCCTTCGCCACTGGCTTCCCCCGGGCTCCGCTGTACCCCATGCGGGTCTTGGACTGGCACCGCGGGTCTCCTTGCAATGATCGGAGAGAGTTCAGCAGGATTCCAGCTGCTGATCTCGCCTCCGATCACTGGACCCAGAAGTGATATGTATTACATCACTTCCGGTGTCACTGTTTACATTCTCTGGCTCTTACAGCCAGAAGAAGCTGGGGAAGCAGATCTCTCAGTATCTTTGGGGTCCCTAGGTGACTTTAGGGGTCTGAAAGACCCCTGATGTCTCCATAAAGAGGACCTAGCAAAAAGTTTGTGTGCCAGGAAAACATGTTGCTATTTTACTGTTTAAAGCCCATTCCGTGTGCACCTTACTGTAAAGCTGGTGACGAATTGATGAGTGCGTTTGTCATCTGTTTTGCATAAAGAGGACCTGTCACACCCTATCTGCTATTACATAGGGGGCTTGTTAGTAATAAAGTTAGTGTAAAAATAAAGAAACAAAAGTGTTTACAAAATAAACAAAAAATAAAAGTACCATATAAATTTTTTTTTTTTAATCCAATAAAAATTTTTTAAAGTCCCCCCGCCCCCCACATGTACACACATACATACGGAAACACGCATCGGTGCACCTATGTGCAAAAACGAAAATTGTGTTACACATGTTACATATCGGCACGAACGTCAGAGTGAGAGCAATCATTCTAGAGCCATTAATCACTGTTAGCACTATAATGATTAGCGGTAAAAGCTTTTAAAGTGTTCCAAATGAGAAATGTTGGGTATTAATGTTTTTTGCGGCTGCACGGGCTAACACAATTTTAAGACATGTTTGGGATCTATTTACCCGACGTGACCTCATCTTTTATATTTTACCAAAAAATTGGGTTTTATATTCTGTTTCTGTGCAATAAATTTCATTTTAGTGTATTTTATCCTAAAAATACTGGTTTGATAAACATTTGCACAATTACTGTGCGATATACAAAATTGCAACAAGCATTTTTTAATTCTACAGGGACTCTGCTTTTAGAAAATATATCATTGTTTGGGAGTTTGAAGCTGTTTTCTAGCCACAAATTCAGATTTTATCATGTGTGTGCAAATAGTAAGAAACTGCTACGAACAGCAAGTGGTTAAGGCACTTGAATGCATTTTTAAGACTTATCTCTCTGCGATAAAAGCTGACAAGCATTTTTACCACACTTGATACTATAGCTTGATATTACCATAAGATAGTGCAGGTATTGCATGCTGCACTTTGATTCTATATTGAATTTGTAGGTTTAGCTGTTGAAGAGCCAGATCCCAGGGGGGCTACTGTAGCAGAAAATGATAATCCTGCAGAAAGATTAACCCATATGTACACTACCCTCACCTTGGTCTGGTAAAGTTCCTGTATCCGAGCGTCAATCCACTCTTCTAGTTTAATTCTGCGCTGCAGTTCCTTGCGGTTGTATTTCACAGTGAGTTTACCCAGCTTCTTAGGTGTCTTGTCCTCATCATCTTGTTTTTCCACATTCAAGAAGGTGACTCGAGCAGCATTGCTGTCACTGGTAGCCATTGTAACCCTCCGCTATGCCAGAATAGGCCCCTGACCTGTAAGCCTTCTGCGGTAACGGTTTCTTCCGTTTAATCCCTTTTTTCCTGAATGAAGCTGATGTGCAGGTGTACGGAAGGATCAAAATACATGTGACCAGGCAGCAGATACGGAGAGACTGTGACAAAGGTACAGCTCCAGAGCCTACAAGGAAGCAAAGTCTCTGCCAGCTTCTTGGATTTCACTGTTCCAGGCCAGATAGAGATCAAATGTTCACATATTATCTGATATCATTCTAAAGGGATGAGTTGCAAGATAACTCCAACAGTTGTATGGTTCATTAACATTACTGTCATTTACACCCTACTAATGGGGAATGTGTGTGATATACTGTAAAAGTAACTACAAACAATTCCGTACTGAGAAAATAAAAATCATATCCCTTTGAAAATGTTTGTTGCTTGACAATCTCTGTCCTCATTGCTTTCTGGATCACCAACCTGGAACAAGCATGCATCTAGTGAAGTTAGATCTCTTGAGCTGCTGGTTAGAGCCGTTGGGGTCAGTTAAGTCAGAAAGCTCCAGAATAACATCTTTTAAGAGGAGCTGGGAATTTCATGGAGTCAGATGAAGGAACAACCTAGTACAAGCCCAATGGCTCTGGCGACCCGGCTCCCACACCGCAAGGCTTCCCTCAATGGGTACCCAACAGTAGCTCAAACCATAAGATTACAGAAAAGAGCGCAGACCAAAAACGGATAATTGTTGGCAATTAGGTCATAAATAAATGTCCAGCACGTTTTGGGGACAAAAACACTTCCTCTTCATCAGGGTCCAGCACAGGATAAACGTGGGTGGACTTGTATTTTGCTGAAAATAGTACTTCTTATGGAGTAACAGTTGCTGGCTATTTTTGGTCTGGCGCACCTTTCTGTAACCCTATGGTCTGAAAGTTTTGAATCCTTTGAATCCACTTAATAGCCAGGCAACAAGTATTTCTAACTTTAAGGTTCAGCATTGGCAGGCTCAGTGCTTTCTCACTACAGGTTTCATTTAATGATTAATATTGGTAACAGGGCAAACTCCAGGCTTTTCTCACCAGTGGGCAGGAAGCTACGACTAGTTAATAAGCATTCACTACCTCCCGGCCAGCCGTTGTGTATACACGACCGGCCGGGAGCTTCTTGGATGTAACTGGGCGTGTATACACGTCCCGTTACATCCGCCCGCTCGGGCACGCCGCGCAGCGTGCGTGAGCGGGAAATGCCGGTCATTTGAAAACAGGCAGCGATGCCCGTTAATATACAAGCGATCCACCGGCTATAGAGTCGGCAGATCGCTTGTATGAGGTCCCGTGACGTGCACCCCCCCTCCCCAAATTTTTTAAAAGTTACACATAAAAAAGAATTAAAAACATTTTTTTTTTTAAAAAGTCCCCACCCCTACATACACGCATGTAAACATGCGTCAGGTGTGCATACCTGCGAAAACGACGATTGCGCCCATTACGCCGCACATGTTACATATGGCCGCGAACGAATGAGAGCAATAATTCTAGGGTCATCAATCACTGATAACTGATGAGCTGTAAAAGCTTTTAAAGCGTCGCCTATGGCCAATTTTGGGTATGCTAGTTTTTTGCGAGTGCGCGCAATTTTTAAGCTTGACATGTTTGGTGTCTATTGGTGATCGACGTGACCCGATCTTTTATATTTTACAAAAAAAGTGGGTAATATTAGTTGTTTTATAACATAATGTAAAAAAAAACTTCAGCAGCATTTGAAATGGCTTAAACATCTTTTGACTTTAAAGTGACACTAAACTCAGGGAGTTAAACCTTAAAAATACATTTAGGTACCTTGGCTATTAACAAAAATGTATCTTATTTCTGTTTCACTCGGCCGTAGATCCTTAAATCATCTTGCGTGGTCCTGGGACGTGCGTCCCGGGTCGACCAGCCCCAAATCATCTCTGAATTGGTGCTGACACTGTCCTTCCTTCTGGAGGGTGGCTACTTTTGTTCCCCATGGTCCCTGTGTGTGTTGTAAAGTAGTCACCGCTCCAAGCTCGCTCCTGTGATGGATTACAATCTCAATACAAATTAGTAAACTAAACATGAGCTTGTAGTCCATCACGGAAGCGAACTTGGAGTGGTGGCTACTTTACAACACACGCAGGGATCACAGGGACAGTTGTCTAGTCACAGAGAGAGGCCGGTTTCATGACAGCCTGGGTTTGGAGGAAGTGGGTTGAATGATGTTTGCTGTCATTCAACACAGAAAAAGGGACATCTAATGTGGAAAAGATGTAGTGCAGAGTACAGCTCTGGACTGAACATGAGCCTTGCAGCAAAAGCTGTTTTTTGATCTTATCCTTTATGGCAGCGGTTCTCAACTTTGCTAGTGCCGTGACCCTATGATACAATTGCCCAAGTTGTGGTGACCCCTAACAGTAAAATTATTTTAGTTGCTCCTTGATCGCTATAATTTTGCTACCACTAGATAGCGGCTCCCGGCCACCCGAGAGAGAAACACTTTCTCCTGGAAAGGTTTATTCTGCTCGATCGAGCAGAGTAAACTTTTCCCTGCTCTGGTTTTTGTTTTTTCCTGACATCGGAGCCGCCGGCTGCCGTCAGTCAGAAAAAACAACAACAAAAAAACATAGGAATGAATAGCTAGATTCCTATTGACTATTTTAGTTTGCAATATCCAATAGCAAGCTGGCTATTGCACCCGCCCTCTTCTGCTGTCAATCACTAGAAGATGACCTGATGGAGAACTTCAGGTACCCCACTGCTGATTGACAACAGCAGTGGGCGGGTGCAATACCTAGTTTTCTATTGGCTATTGCAAAGTGAAATAGCCAATAGGAATCTAGCTATGCCTTCCTATGCTGTTTTTTTTTTTCTGACTGACAGCGGCCGGCGACTCCGATGTCAGGAAAAAAAAAAACAGATCGCAGGGAAAGGTTTACTCTGCTCAAAATGTTTTTCTCCCGGGCGGCCGGGAGCCGCTATCTAATAGCGGGAGACTCCCGGAGTGTCCGGGAGAGTTGGGATGTCTTTAGGCGACCCCTGGCAAATTGTCATTCGACCCCTCGACGGGGTCGCGACCCACAGGTTGAGAACCGCTGCTTTATGGGCTATTCATTGTTTTATTTGTATGTTTAGCTGGAATTCTGCTTAATTCTTTTCAGTGATCTGACAATGGCAAATAGATATCTGATTGGTTTCTCCAGGTTACTGCACTTTCTTGATTATTATTGAACTTTGAAATAAAAGTACTGCGTTAATAAAATAACTTGGTAATGCTGGCAGTCTTTTAAGACAACATTTAACACTTAGGGCCCAGTCACACCATAAAGAGTGCGTTCCAGGGCGTTCGGCCTACGGGACGCAGTGGAATGCAACCCGGCCGGCTCACTTTGTTGTTGAAGTCAATGGCACTGCAGCCAATCGCAGTGCAATCTCCGACACCCGAACGCGTGACACATTAATGCCTGCGTTTCAGTACAGTGCGATCTGCAAAAAATGCTGCATGCACTACTTTTTGCAGATCGCACTGGACCAGAAAGCAGGCACTAATGTGACTAATGTCGACCAAAACAAAGTGAGCCGGCCGAGTTGCGTTCTAGTGCGTTCCGTAGGCCAAACGCCCTGGAACGCACTCTTTATGGTGTGACTGGGCCCTCAGAATTGGCTATTTTGCCATTGCTAGGATAATAATCATCACATCATTCAGCCTTTGTTGTTTTTCAACTGTGTTCAGCCATAAATTGCCATCTGGATTCCAATAAGTCACAATGGGCAACACCTCTTTCTATGCTCTACACCAGGGGTCGGCAACCCCCGGCACGCGTGCCCAGCCTGGCACGTGAGACCTTGACAGCTGGCACGCGAGTCGACCTGTTTGCTTGTAGTTGACAGCTCCCTCGAGCCGGCTGTCAATTACATTTAGTGGCCCACCCACCTCAGTGACGTGGCTGAGTGGCATAGGAACGCAGAGGCGCGCTGACGGGGCCCTCAGCTCGTTCTGCGCATGCTCCTGCCTGAAGGATCCCTCTTGTGCCAGCCCGCCAGACAGGAGCGGGCTCACCCACGCCTGATGTGATGGGACGGGATTACTGTACCCTGCCCGACAGGAAGGATCTACTGCACACCCTGCCCCAGCACAGAAAAAGGAGCCAGACGATCATCTGGAATATACAGCAGGTACCACATGTATACTGCTCACATAAAACACCCTAAACCAGCCAGCGCTCTGTAATACAACAAAGCCTGAATGGTATTTGAAGATTTATTGCCTACTGGAATTGCCGTATTTCATGAGCCAACCATATGGTATTAACAGACACGCCAAGGTTTAATAATTTCTGAAAAGATAGCAAAACTGCAAGCAAGGTACAGTTGTAACAGACTTGCGAACAGTCAAATGTCCAGAAAACATAGTGGTGTAAAGAAGTGAAAATAGACGTTATCACAAAGTTTCAAGTAGTATTTCAGTGCAATTTAAAAAATGCTGACAGGTAGCTTTTTTTATAACAGAAAATACCCTGTATGTCTCCACCACAAGTGCTTCCCTCCAAGCTGCCAGAATTTTCTTTAATTGTACACTGAGCCACGCATGCACAGCTCTAGAGCCGTCCCTATAATGAGGCAGCCTCAGATGGCATGTCACTGGGGGTGCTGCAGGATTGTGGGGGGAGCAGCAGTTGGGGTGGCCACAGAGTCCCAGGTTGCTTAGAGCTCTTAGTAAACTGTAACGCTCTCTCTACGTGTTTCCGAAATTCTGCTCAGCTCACTGACATCACTGGCTGGCGTTCCGCCAAGCTCCTGGCAACCAGTGACATCAGTGAGCTTGGTGGGACACGAGGGGTGCGCATATCACATAGCTAGAGTGAAGTGCGTCGCAAGGTAAGTGTGCCATGATGTTCCAATATACTGTTCCAACTTGCACATTATGGCAAGATCTCTTGGGGACCCCAACATTTTCCTGTGCTTTACTTTCTCTTCAAATTCTTGGTTTAAACAGCTAATTATAATTATATTAAAGTGTATTTAATGACAAAAACTATTTTTACTTTTAGATAGAGTGGGATTAGCAACCTTGTCAAATTTGTCTATGTTCTCAATGTGGAGATTCACATTCTCTGGGACA